ATGAAGAATTTCAATTAAGACTTATTCATATGTATCAATCAGATAAGGATTGATAATAAAATATTTTTCCAAAGAAGTAAAAATTATCTGAAAGTTATCCAGATCTTATTAATTAAAAGGAATGTTGTTTTTAGAAGATAAAAAAAACAACTATTTTAGAAAATTATAATTATAGTAAAGCATTGCATATGATTGCATAGTGGGGAAAAACAGCAGGAAAAAGAGAACATGGAAGAAGTTATATGAAATATCAAAAGAAAAAAAAATAGAGTTGATTAGTGAATTATGCCGCTAAATTATTCGCAGCATTTTTTAAAAACAAAAATATATTAAAAATAACCATCGAATAATCCTACTAAGAACTAAATTTATAAGATGAGTAGTAATTTGAGCTTTTGTATAGAGAAGTAGATTGTATTCATTATCAATATCGGTTTTTAGAAGTAATTGCTCTATCAAATAACACAATTGAAGATCCATTTCTTTCATAGTCGATATTAAAGTTTTTATTTTCGATTTATTATAATAAAATTCTGGTATACAGTAATGATTAAAAGATCTTTGTAACTTCATTTATAGATATGTTTCATCGATGAATTTATTTTATCGTCTATTTCAAGGTTCAAATCCAACATAATTACGAATAACGCTTTTCAAGTCTTATCAAATCATCTCTTCGAGCTTTAGTCATGCTATTAATCGAAAAATCTTTTTCATGTAACGTCTCTTTTGCTGGAAAATATATATTTCAAACAATGTATGTTATTTACAACTTTTATGTCTTCGATTAGTATTTATTGTCAAACAAATGCTTTCGGCAATTGCACAATTTCTTTGATATCAGTCTAAAGAATACGCTTCAAATTGCACTTTTTCAAAAGCAAAATAATTATACTTCAAGCAACGTTCTATTATTGAGAAATAATATTTTCAAACACTTTTACACTGGTTGCTACAACTATGCAGTACTACTTGAAATTATAAGTACAAAGTAATTTTGATTTAGTGTGTGATGTCGAATAATTAACTAAAAAAACAAATATTAATTTGAACAACCAATAAAGTCCGTTGTCAGATGTATCATATATCAAAGTTATATAATCGAACTATGAAAGTTCGTTTTTTTTTAAATATTTCTATCTAAACGACCACTGAATTCTGAATAAAATGTGCAGCCATCACCTTTTTTCTACTAATTTTCTTGACAAAGTTAGAAGCATTATAAAAAACGACAGAAAAGAATAATCACAATAACTTCTCATTTTTGTTTAAAATTTTATGCTTTTTTTTTTTAGATTGAACTGTTGAAAGCGAGCTCTTATAAAATGCTCTGATACCTGACAAATTTTCTACATAGTCCAAGTATGAAATATTCATAAATGATGCAATTGATAGAGTACAATATTAGTTACCCAAATTATTATTTACTTTTTATTTTAGCACTCGTCATCCAACCCACACACCAAAATTACCATGTAATTATAATTTTGAGCAGTTCTGTATATATAATTAGTTTCCTTTTTCTCTTCTTTTGTCCACATTCACGATTCTTTCAATTGCTTATGAATGATTAGCGCTATATTGAAATATATTAGAAAATACACTGGAATCTATAGAAGTCAGTACTACGACACTCATTGTTTTTATCCTTTTGAAATTTTAATGGTCCGTCTAGGAAAGAAAATCTAAACAATTTCTATTTTATCATTTAAAGTATTGATCCATAAAATCTCATAATTGATGCATTCCAATAAAGCTGTAACTTTAGCGCAGTTTCTTTTATGTTTTGATGATCTTCATTATTTTCACTTTTTCTGTTTTCTTTCAGATTTTTTTCTTTTGACCTACTCTGATATCAGTGCATCTAACACTTTGTTCAAAAATCTACACATAAAATAAAATCTCTGTATTGTGAACGTCGTTGGACTCGATGAAAATGGTTCAATATGATTATTTTCGGTGTTGTCCAATAAAAAGAAACGTTTTTTTTTTCATTTTTCTAATACAAAATAAAAATTGATAAACTATAATCAAGAGTTTGGTTAAAGAATGTTTGGTACAACATTTATAACGATTAAAATTTTTCTCTCAGTTCAAAACATGACAAATTATGTTCTTTATATTTAGTGAACGTTACATTTGTACTCTGAATCAAGATCATTACGACATATTATGTGTACTAGATGAATGTTGATAAAACATTCAAAACAATAATGAAGTTTAATTGTCTGTTCTTTTTCTTTTTTACATTTCCATTGAATTAAATCATAGAACACGAATAGATTGATAATAATCACTTCTACAACTTTAATCCTATAATTTAGCAATATTAGGATGTAGGTTGATGTTTATTCTGACAAGATGAATACATCTATTCAGAATCAAGGGTGGCTGAAAACCAGTTAAATTCGCTCGAGCAAATTGGAGAGTTTTCAGTCAGAGAGATTTTCTCGTAGGTTTTTATTCTTGGCAGAACATAGTTTGTGAGTACCGACTATATTCATATTTGACTATTATCCAAAAAAAAAACAACGGTAATTTTTTAAGGGAAACAATTTAAATGTCTAAAGGAGACTTCAACAGAGTTCAAGTTAATATAAATTATAGAAATTTCGAAAACCTCTTTTCATTTTTTTCTTATGTAAAATAACTTGATGAAAATTTTATTTTTATTCTTTGTTTTGTTTTTTATATTACTAATTTAACAGAAGTCTCTTCTTTTGTTATTAAATTTAGAATCTCTTTACGTGACAAGTTCTTGCTAGTCATTTGAAGTATCTTGAATAAACAATGATATTCAAAAGTTTAATCAATTTTCATTTTTCTCTCTAACATCTAATACAGCTATTTATTTGCTCATTATTTCTCAAATCAGATATGATATGTCTCGAGTTAGAGTAGAGAAGTTCGACTTTTTTAAGTCTGTAGAATAATTTCACCAAGATAATTAATGTTTGCTTAATTGTTCTTTGTTTACAATAACACTTTGTATAATTAGGAATATATTTTGCCTTGAATAATCATATTCAATTAAACTAATGGTTTTTTTTTTTTTGTTAAAATTTTCTTTTCATAATAAAATAAACATTTTATGTATATATTTTTCAACTGTTAGACGATTAAAAAAAAATCCATCTAGTAAATATTCTCTATGAAGTTAATAGTAAAGAAAAACAAAATTTTCCTATGACAATGATAAAAATGATAATTATAATATTTCTTCTATTATATATATTAAACATAATTAATTCAATACAAATTGGTTTTATAAATCGTATTTCTGTAATTACAAATTCAAGTTTAATTTCAACATCAAATTCAAAATGTATTGATTGTCTTTGCAATTGTTTGAATAATAATAAACAAATCAATTTAACAATATCAAAATGTTATGATATTAATTGTTTTCCATCGAATAATTCATGTCAACAAATTGAACAATCATGGATTCAAGAAACAGAAATTTCATTTAATTCTACATCAGATCAATTGTATTGGAGATAGTCTTATTGGTCATTATTTTGTATCAAATTTAACACGATTTTAAAGTTTTTTCGTAACAGATATTTCAATAGCTGTTTGTATTGATTCAATAAATATCTATATTTCATTTTTTCGAAATATGAGTGTCAATAAGTATAATTTAAATATGCAATTTATTCGGTCTTTAGTAAGACCAATAAGTTCTAGTTCTTCTCATTTATATGGCTTAGCAAGATGGAAAAATCAATTGTTTGTTAGTTGATGATATTTTAAGTTTAATTTGGTCTATTGATTTAAATACAACACAAACTGTCAATATATTTTAATTTGACTTCATACGGTATTCCATCAAATACGATTGTTATATTTGATAATCATCTTTATATTGCACAATATTCATTATCAATCGTTTATATAATTTATCTACTTAATGCTTCATTAAAATCTATTACATTTCCTAATTCAATACCATTTTATCGTTTACAAATGGATCCATTTTGTAATCGAATATGGTTTGGTGTAAAACAAGTCAATTATATATCAGTACCAGTGCTTAATCTTGGTACGAATGAACCATGTTTGTATCAATCAAAAGGTTCATTAGCGCAAGCAAGAGTTTATAAGGTAGAGTTTGATTTAGATTATTCAATGTATACAGTCGCAAAAGATGGAAATAGCTTTTTCAAATATTTTATGTCAACGACAATTTGTAGAAGTAATTGATATATTTATTGTATGAATTAAAATTATCAATTTGTTTGTACAATATATTTCATACTAAATAAATCAACTTTTGCTTTTCTTCAGCTAGTTAATGTGAACCGTCTGTATTTCCATAAATTCAGAATCTAATCCAATCAACAACAAAAAAAAAAAATCAATTTCTCATTCTTTTTTTGTTCTGTAACAAATATCTGTTAAAAACAATTTCAAAGTAATTCAATCGAGGAAGAAAACAAAAAATTTTATCCCAAACAATATGTTATTATGATTTGATTTTGAAATTCTTTTTTTTTCTTATTATAAGACTGTATTAGCTTGAAGTGTTCGAATATTTACATGCATTGTGTTGGTTTTTTTTTGTTTCATGGAAATAATATAGAATTTGATCATATTGATTATGATGAAGAAATAAATTTCTTTTGACATCATTTGAGATAGAGATCAATAAATTATTTTCTAGAAAATCTGTTATATAGATTTCTTCTACTCTGTCAGAGGGATAATCTAATTAAAAATTAAAATAAAATTATTAAACAAATTTCTGTATAATCTTATATTTGTTCTGAAAGAAAAAAAACTTTTTTGTGCATTTCTTTTCTTCGAATTATAAATAAAAAAAATCCATCTGTTTTATTACAGATGATGTCTTTTTTTTTCTTATTAATAATGATTCTATTTTTTTTTTAATCCAAAAAAGAAAAGAAACCTATCGTTGATTATTTTTACACATGTACGAGGCAGACTGTTTTATTTGAATTGAATCTGTCTTCGAAAATAACTGTATTTCGATAATCATGAGGTATCAATTGCAAGAAAAAGCATTGCCTAATCGATCACAGCCAACAACTCGTAATGGTACGATGATATATCCTGATTTCAATATACAAAAATCAAAAACTCTTGATCGACTCGGTCCTGTATCTGTTCAACGTGTTAATCCAAGCATAAAAGTTCAACCACCATATTATGATGAATATCTTGCTGCTGAGAAACAAAAAGAAGCACAAACAGGTCGATGGGTGTTAAATGTTATAGCAGCAAACGAAGCATATCAAAAAGGACATATGACTAATAGTAATAATAATAATCTGTGGTATACAGATTCTAAACGATCATCACATGTAAGATAAAATTAATCGATAGACATAATAGACTAATCGATTTTTTTTTGTTCTCAAAGAAAAAACATAGCTTTCAATCGAGAAAATCTAGCCGAGTAGAACCAATCGAGGTTTGTTTTTTTTTTTTAATTAAGATTGTTGTAATTCATTTTTTAAATCATTACAAAGTTATCATCGCGATACGTTGATTCAAGATTGCATCAAATAGAAAAAAAACACAATAAAAATCAAGTTAGTCTTGTTCTTTTCTTTTTTTTGCGAAAAATAAACAACAATATCTATGTAAAAAAAAATTCATCTAGAGTAGAAATCGATTACCAAATGAAACCATAATAAATCAAGTGTCAATTCATAATAGTCAACCTACTCCGTTGTCAAGATTTTCTAGTGCAACACAGATTTACGATATTGAAACAATAGATAGATCAATACTATCATCACTAACACGATCAAGTAGTCAATCAAGAGATTATTCAACAGATAATTTTAACGATAGGTAAGCTTTTGTTTCATATATATATATACATATAAGCATAATTAATTAATTGAAATAGTGATGAGAACACATGTTTATCAAAACGAATGTTGATTATAATTACAGTAATATCAATAATTCTTATCATTGGTATTTTTGTTGCAGTTTTAGTGACGATATTTGTTGGCCGAAGTGAGTCAAGAGAATTTAAGTTCTATTTTAACAAATATATAGTACATTTATAGATGGATCTACGGATTCAAGTGGAAAGAGTAAGTCTTTATATCAAAACAAAAAACAGATTTTCTTTTTTTTAGTAAAAATTATTGTTAGATGATTTCAAATCAACTTCTAAAACAATGTTAAGAGTCTTAATTCTATATTAAAAAAATTCTTTTCAGTTCTAGATCTCAAATCCATATTAACTCCATTATCTTCAGAAAATAATTGGCTATGTCCAATGCAAATGTTTAATATAACTGATCCATTATGTAATGGACAAGTTTCTTATAATTATTATTCATGTTATCAAATGGCAATATCAACATCATTTACTATTCAATTTGCTCTACAACATGATACAATATCTGGTCATTGGTATTTTGATGATATTAGTGCAGTACAAAATGATAATATTCAACTTATCATTAATGGTGGATTTGAATCGAATTTAACTGGATGGACACTTAATATTTCATCAAATTCTACACCAGATACATATGTAGATACAATAACAAATTTAGCTCATACAGGTTCTGCATATCTATATGGAGCTTCGAAATTCTATCCGGCTTATATACAACAAACATTTCAAGTTATTCAAGATGAATATATTAATATAAGTTTTTGGTGGAGATATGATGGAGGATTAAAATTAGGACACACATGTCAAGCTATTGGACAATTAATACCATTATTGTAATGCTTATAAAGTTTTTTTTTTAAATTGAGTCAGTTGAACATTGTAATCGATTTATATATGATTGAATAAACAATTGTAATGCAGTAAATTTTTTTTTGTTTAGTTTAGTTTTATCACACTTGATGGCTCATATTTAAATAATTATGTAGGTTATTACATGAATAATTCATGAATTTTCATCTACTATATACATATATATTCATGACATATTGAATTGAGTGATTCAAGTGTAATCGACATTATAATTACATACTCTATTGAATTCAAAGATTAATCTACAAATGTAGTGTTCAGTTTGCGTAATGAACATTTCTTTTTTCTTTTTTTACTGGAAGTATTTTAATAGAAAAATAATTGTTTTCAACGGCACTTGCTCTCATGATATGGTGTATGAGCATGAAGTCTATACCTAATTGGACTATTTTTCTAATTGATTTTTGATTGCTTGTAGTTATAAGAGTCATAAGAAATAAAAATGCTGCGAAAGTAACTGTTCGAAGAGTAAATGGTATGAGAGCGATAGTCGTGGATGAATCGAAAAGATTTAATTATGAGTACTCATTGATGGAAGACTTTCAACTACCGACAAATTTCTTAACTTGCATGTCACAATTTTAATTCATATTAGAAATGTTGAGTCATAATTTTATCTAAAAACGAAATTTTCTTGCCCTCTAAACATATACATGAGGAAGAATTGGACTCACAAACACATGTAAAATGTGTACTTTACAATGAGTGTTATCTAAACAAAATCAAAATTTGGAGATTTTCTTCATCGAAGTCATGCAGCCATGAACCGTTCCAATTATATTTCCACACCATGGAATGTCTTTTTTCATACAAAGTTATTTAGTCATGAGCGAATCTATTCTATTAAAAACCTATTGCAGCACTTTGTCCTAAACAAGGGACCCATGGAACGAGATTGATCTCCATGTGATTTAGTTTTATTTTCAACTGAATCTTATTTTTATTCTTGAAAAAAAAATTAATTTTCGTTTTAAGGAATTAGTCATGTTAATTAAACAGACAATACTTTTGTTTTATTGTTTGTCATAATTTTCTTTCAAGAGTTAACTAGACGTTTGATATAATATAAATAGTTTTCGAAACTAGATTTTTTTCAACAGAAAAGTAATATTCAAATTTTTTTTTCATTGAATGTATCGTAAGCGTTTGTTTTTATCGCAATACTTTGCAATAACAGGCAGATTAAGTGATATTTAGTGGCATGTGAATGAGTCTTCCATAGGATCTTTTGGGTATATTAAATTTCTATTTTTAGAGAAATATCTATTCCGTTTTATTGGTAATCATTTGCATGATTATTTTCATGAAAGTGTAACTAATTATATTGATTAATCAGCTGAATTCTATATATCATTTGATTTAATACGATTCTTTATATAACAATGAATTTAAAGGTTATGGAGGTACGAATTGAAAAAACTGTATTATTTTCTGAAAGAAAAAGAAATCGCTTAGAAATCTTCTATAACAGTGATTGTATAATCGTAGTAAAGTGTATTTTTTTAGCGGCGCATATCTAATGTGTTATCCGAAAACAGCAAAAAATATCAATTTCAACAAGAGAAAAGAGTTATGTAATGTACTGTTTGCTCTTGACATATATTCATTGATGATACAAAGAGTACATGAAATATGATCTTATTTCCTTCAGCAATAAAAATAATTCAATTCATTTTCTTCAATAAAAATACTTGTGTTATGAATTAGATCAATATTTACTAAATAATCATATTTATTTTTATTCTCAACACGCATATTGTACAATAATAATCTTTCGAACTTTGTTCGTTATATGCCAACATGACGTTTACACCTCATGTACATGGATCAAATTTCCCTACTCTATTCGAGTAGGATTAGTAATGATAATCTACGCATTTTTTTCTGTACTTCTCGATTGAGATGGATCTCTGATTAGTAATGAGAAAGGAAAGAAAAAAACAGAGAAACAAATGTTTATTATTGATGCAATAAGGATAAGATTTTGACTGTGCGAGAACACATCAGGCGCAAAAAAAAATACAAACAGGAAGAAAATCATGGCACTATATAAGCTTCATCATTTCTTTAGGGATACCATTAGTTCTATACTGAATACACTATTGCATAAGATAACATTATGGCAGCTATATTTAATGCTTTATTCGGTACATATCCTGAACCGGAACAACAAAATACTGCAACAGATCAACCTACAGGAGTAGCAGTTAAAGCTGCTGAAAATCTTCATACATCAGTTATTGTTGATGATGTTCGTGTTAATTCTGTTATATCATCTGAAGCTCAAGCAAATTTAACAATTAATAATAAAGTTAATATTGTTAGTTTATTTTCACAATTAAGTACAACACATGCACAAGTTGATCAATATTCTCGAGCACGTACACATGAAATCAATGAACAAGTAATTTCATCGTTTCTTTTTATCAAATTTCATTAAACTTGTTTTTTTTTAATGATATAGATTAAAAACTCAATTGCTGATGTTCTTGCAAATACTCAACGTCAACAAGAACAATTATTATTTGATGCAAATCAACGTCATTTAATCATTGAAAATGAATATAAACATCAATTACAAAAAGCTGTTGAAGCATTAGATGCTGTTAAAGCTAAAACTTTAGCCGATTTAGAACGTGATTTACAAGCTCGACAACAATTAATCATGTTTGAAGCTAAACAACAAATTGATACTATAAATAATCAAGCTAATGCCGATAAGCTACATGCTTTAGTTGAAGCACAAGAACTAGCTAAACAAAATATTGCTAGTCTTACAGAGCAAATAGTTGTACCAGATCAACAAGATGTTCAAAATTTATTACAATCAACAACTACTACTATAATTACTTCTCAAGCACAAACTATAGAGCATCCACAAAATATTGTAAGTACACCTGTTACAGACACAGTTATTACAACAAATGATCAAAAAGTTACTAATATTGTTGATAATCAAATGCAACTAGTTGTGAGAAGGTAAATTTTAGAAGTTGATTTTAAACAAAAAAATGTTTTTTTTTTTAATGTAGTCCATCGGAATTAATATCGACACCAACATTTCCTACGAAAAATGAAGAAAATATAACTACTGTTAGTACAATCAATACTGAGTAAATATTTTTGTTTTAAGAATATTTATTAAATTAATCACTTTCATATAGAACATCTAACCTCACAACAACACCTCCAACATCAGTAGCTGATTCTACAAATGTCGAAACCGAATTCAAACCAGTACAAGATAATGCAAACATTTAAAATTCGAAGAAGAAACAAAGAATACAAAGCATTATTTTCGCTCCTAAATCCTATGCTTTGCTATAATTAAAACCTATACTGCTATTATTGTATTTATACTTGCAAAATAAAACATTTTTTTCTTTGTGTTTAATTAAAAAATAAACATAATTTGCTATAATCTGACGAGATTTAAACTTTTGTGTATATATCAATTCATTTTTAAAGGTGAGGAATATCACATTATTTCATGTAGTAGAAAGAAACCAGCTGTCCTTATTTTCTTAGAAGAAATATGTATATGTAGTGAAAAATACAATTCTATAAATTGATCACATATGATCTATTAATTAAAATGAATACCTTGCAGGGTCTTATATTATTCGTTGTTCTTTTTTTTTTCACTTGTTACTTTGCGTTTAGTTACCCAAATAAATTTTGTTTTGAATTTACACATTACATATTTCTCACAATTATCCATTTTTATATATCCATAGGTTTTATGTTTATTGAGTTTTACGTCGGAGTGAATGTATCAAATGCAAATAATCTTTTTGATTATGAAAAACAATGCATTGCTAAAAGGATTCTCTATAAACATATTTTTCAAATGAGATATTTCTTATTTTTGTTCAACTATCGTAATTTTTAAAGAATCGTGCAACAATATTTGACATCGAAGATAAAATCCTTAGAAAACTAATTAATTATCTGTTATAATTATTAACAAAATCAGTAAAGAATAAAATAAAAGTCATATCAATAGGAAAAATACATAATTTTCATAAGTCATCAGTGCTACAACCTTCTCAAGTCACAAAAAAAGCAAAAACAATTTAGAAAGCTATTTTTTTGTGAGCTTTTCACATTTTTATTGGTTTATATAACTTGCTGTTTCTTTCTATGGCACTCTTTTATTCTCAAAGCTTCAAAACATAATCAATAATATATAAAGAAGATGCATAATCTATTAAGCACATCAGTTTTTAAATGTTAGTTTCATTCACTCTGAATAATTTTTGGCCAGCAATTCTGTTTTTAAGACAGCATATGTTTGTGCATGTTCATGTGATAATGAACTATTTCAACGAATTTGTATTTCTACAACTATTAAATCTACTGACATATAATTGCAAAAAACCATTGGACGAATGTCTCATTTTCGAAAAAAACTGTTGACATTGGCGTTGTTTGGTAGAACAGAACACAAAATGTATCATATAGGCAATAACAGGATGTAGATAATAGTTACCACAAATCATATTAATTGATTTTATTGCCTCAATTTTTTCATATAGAAAAAGCGGAACTTCTCTGCCAAAAATGGAACAGATGACGACTTTGACCGAAACAGAGTGTTAGCAGACAACTTAACCATTATCATTAATCAATGTTGTGATTATACCAATATAGATATCACTTTCCGCTATTTTTCTTACCTCTTTTCTGTACTCATCTCTCTCTTGTTCTCTTCCAAATAAGCGGTCATTGTATGTGAAATAATTACTTTCTGGAGATATGAAGTAACTGAATAACCTTCATTACTGAAGATAACAGTAGGCTACTTCATCAAGTCTATCGTTACAATAATCAACACAATATTCATAGAATCTAGAAAGCTATTTAACAGTGATTCATTATCCAATACTCGAAGAAAAGATTTCTTATACAATTCTTGTCAAAAATGAAATTTAAACACATTCATACGGTTTTGTAAAGAATCCCAG